TAGCAGTCCCACCTTGGGACCAGTTGAGCAGAAGTTTTAGAAAACATGAGTAAGATTTTCAGAAGCACATCTGCAAGGGAGGGAAGGGCAGGCAGAAGAGTTAACAGGGCCAAGGCACAGACTTGAGAAAACATGGATTTCTCAAGAGCCAGGGCTGGCCAATAGATCTGGCGAGCATGGAAGATGACGCGATGGAGGTTGGTTACATTGGAGAACAAAGGCTTTGATAGCTGCTAATGGATTTGAACTTTATGCAGCCCGATGAAGGACTGAACACCGGATCAGTCTTGAGAACAACTCTGACAAAGTATGGGACGAGAGCTGGTGAGAGCAGCCGGGAGAAGTCAGGAGACTTGAGGGGTTTGGAAAGTCGTGCGGATGGCCTGGTCCATGGCAGCTGTCACAGGAGCGGGGACAGGTTCAAAGGACATTTGGGAAGTGGCATGGGCAGGGGTGATGATGGCTTGGATATGTTGTATGACTGGGTAGAGAGAAAAGTGAAAATCAATGCAAACAGAGGAATGAGAATCATTCAGTTTGGGATAATTGTCAGCTGCGGACATTTACAAAGCCATCTTGCAGAAAGGTCTGATAGGGGGCGGAAACAGAAGTGTGACCTTCAGACAGATGGGTAGAAGCTCAGCAGCAGGCAGCTCCACTGCAGAGATAATTAACCGAGAGCAGATGAAATGCCCCAGCAGAACACAGTGCCAACCAGACGCCTAAACACAGGTCGCCTGGGGACAGGATGATGTAAGTGGTGGGCAAAAGAAGAGCCTAAGGATGAGACAGAAACAGAGCAGGCCAGGGTAGGAAGACACAGGGAAGCATTCTGGCCAGACATCAATCACAGGGAAAAGAAAAGGAGAGAGTTCTGTGAAATGTTACAGAAGATGATAGAGCAGGCAACAAACATGGCCAATGGCTTTAGTTTTAACTGCAGGATGTAAGGGAAAGCAGTCTTAAGATGTTACAGGTTGCCTGGTGTCCCTTCAAAGTCTTGAGAGGCCAACATAGTGACAGAGGCTGTCCCTGCATGATGACACCACAGGGGACTGCCATTCTGATTTAGATTTGTATTTAACATTTTCTATAGTGAAGGCATGGGTGTGTGTGTGTGTGTGTGTGTGTGTGTGTGTGTGTGTGTGTGTGTGTGTGTGTGT